TCATCAATCTCACATCGAGAGTCGGGAAGCTCAACTTGCCAAGCAAGTACGTCCCCGAGCAACTCACATTACATTACATTAAACTTTCCCTTTTTTTTTTTTTTTTTTTTTCATCAATCTCACATCGAGAGTCGGGAAGCTCAGCTAGCCAACCAAGGTGACCCAAATTGGCAAGTACGTTTCCAAGCAACTCGCCTTACATTATATTTAACTTTTCTTCTTCAATCTCACGAGAGTCGGAAGCTCAGCTAACCAAGCAAGGTGGCCCAAGTTGGCAAGTACGTCCCCAAGCAACTCGCATTACATTACATTCAACTTTCTTCATCAATCTCACATCGAGAGTCGGGAAGCTCAACTTGCCAAGCAAGTACGTCCCCGAGCAACTCACATTACATTACGTTCAACTTTTCTTTTCCCCCTTTTTTTTTTTTTTTTTTTTTTTTTTTTCATCAGTCTTATATCGAGAGTCGGGAAGCTCAACTTGTCAAGCAGGGTGGCTCAAATTGACAAGTATGTTCCCTAGTAACACGCATTTCATTCCCTTCAACTTTTTTTTTTTTTTTTTTTTTTTTTTCCAAGATCATTGCAGTTACAAGACCAATATTACTTTACCATAAGATCGTTGCAACTAGGGATGGGTTCGGTCGGTCACGGTCGGTCACGGTCAGTCATTACCGGTTATTGACGGTCAACCGGTTGACCGCGGTCGGTTATTTAACAGTCACAGGACATGTCCTTAAACCAGGTGCTCTATTGCTGTTACTATAGATCAAATGAGTTGACGTACTAAATTTTATATATAAATTTTTACAAAAAAATCACTAAAATTTAATTTACTCAAAAAAATACATATAAACCTTTCTTGAAATTTTAAATATATATTCTTTACCATTTTGTAATCTTTTAGTAGAAGCCTTGTTTCTTAATCAGCAGTAGATTGAAGTTAATCTTCCGCTAAAGTTGGACAATTCTTTACTATATTCTCTAAGTCAAAAGACTGACCCACCTAAAGCAATTATATGATTGGTTAAAATATTCTTTTGAAATTTAAAGAAAATTTTACTAAATAAAGTTGTAGAGGAGGTTCTTCTGGTTCTAATGGTGGTAAGATCATCGGTGGTTCTCAAGAAACTTGGGTTAAAGGCGTGAATGCAAGATCTGCAAATTGATGGTTACACGAAATATTATAGTTATAATACTTCGTGTAACCATCAATTTGCAGATCCTGCATTCACGCCTTTAACCCGAGAACCACCAAGCCAATTTTGATGATCTCACCACCATTAGAACCAGAAGAACCTCCTCTACAACTTTATTTAGAAGCAAAAGAAACCTTTGCTTAGTAAAATTTTCTTTAAATTTCAAAAGAATATTTTAACCAATCATATAGTTGCTTTAGGTGGGTCAGTCTTTTGACTTAGAGAACATAGTAAAGAATTGTCCAACTTTAGTGGAAGATTAACTTCAATCTACTGCTGATTAAGAAACAAGGCTTCTACTAAAAGATTACAAAATGGTAAAGAATATATATTTAAAATTTCAAGAAAGGTTTATATGTATTTTTTTGAGTAAATTAAATTTTAGTGATTTTTTTGTAAAAATTTATATATAAAATTTAGTACGTCAACTCATTTGATCTATAGTAACAGCATCCATCAGGACATGTCCCATGACTGATATCCGGATCTATTGACTAAATCCGGATATAACAATTAAATCCGGATTTAATGATTAAATCCGGATATAAGTTATTAAATCCGGATCCAGGTATTAACTCTTGACAGCTGTCATACCAAATCGGGTAAGTGCCTTTTTCTCAATGAGATCGTTCGACGGGGCTTAGCTTGTATATCTATTTTCACAGGATCGTAATGTGAGTTCTTCAAGGGCATTGTTGTACGATTAAGTAACATTTTTGCATTAAATGTTCAAGGTCTCAAAGGTCATTATATTTTTAGCCAATAAAATTTATATTATAGTATCGAATTTAAATAATATTACAATAGTTTATATGGCTCAATAATTTTAAAGTAAAAATTATTATAAAATATGCTAATAATTATACGTAGTTGTCAATATTTTATATAAAATAGAAATGTAAATATGAAGCTATATATATTTATATATAACGATCATGGTAGTTGATTGGTTGTTTAAATATATATTACATAAGCAATTTCAACGGATTATGCAGTCATTATGTTAAATGACTCAAAATATGCAATTTGTGCAATGCATAATGCGTACGCGGTATAGGCCAAATTATGCGCATATTATGCAGTATCATAATCCTAGACACTCAATTTGAGTCGAACAATGCGCATGTATGTTACACGAAGATGCAATGCCAACCTCTAGTTTTTTTAAATGGAGATTACTCTCACAAACAATACGCATCTAAATTAGTCAAATATACGCCATAAAAATTTATATAATAGTTAATAACAGTGCAATTATCGCACCAGTCATCAAACCAACAATATTCAGCAAAAGGCGTTGCCATTTCCATCTTCTCATGGCTTCCGAATACCTGACTGTCGAAAAACTTACCATAGTATACAGTGGTATTATTAATGTTGGAAATAGACGATGTAACCAACCTTCAACCTTTCTCCTTACTAAATACCAAGGATTTACTACATTAGATCTCATCTCAATATAATTATACATTGCCAAGTCACAAATTGCTACTGCATCTTCATGACGAAGTTTTGTGTACTCTTCCAATGCCATTTCCAATTTGTCATCATAATCATCATTATAGAATGCGGTGATATTGAATCTTTCAAAGATCCTGTCAAGTAGTTCAACATCTTGAAATCCGCAGTTCATGCCTTGTCCGTAAAATGGCACCATGCAATGAGCTGCATCTCCTATGATGATTGCTCTGTTTAGATAGTGATAAGGTTTGCACTATATAGTAAAAAAAAAAAACCAAAGGTAAATCAAATCCAATTTATTTTTATATTCGAATTTCTTACACCCATCATAAAAAATGCTAACTCTTTACGATTGAAATTTCGCTAGCATGAAACGATATATCACCTTGATAGACATCAGCGATCCTTTTGGGTTACGAAAATATTCTTTAAGTCGCTGTTCGCCTATTAAAGGAATGGAATCTGGAAAATAAACTTCAAAGAAGTTTATCAATTCTCTTTCTGTTTTTATAGTATCGAATTTTTCGTTAGGCATAAAAAGGGTGCAAGTGAATGATTTGTCCTATAATAAATGAAAGTCTTTTAATAGCTTCAAAGATACCGTATGACTGACTCCTGAGTTCACCTTTATCTAAATGGATCATTCTTCCTTTCATTGGGATAACAAAATTTAACACCATTTCATCAAGATTTAAACCAGTATTTGCCAATGCACTTAGTCCACGAGTTGACAAAGCTAGGTTGATCGACTTTTGTGAAAGACTAGTTTGATTTCCTGGAATTCTAGGGTCTGATGACAAAGCGTGTTTATAAAAAAAGAATGTAAATATTGTGGCGATTGTGGAGAATCATAATGAAATCGGATTAAAATGAAATTTGGGTTTCTATTTAGTTTTCTAAAATCTACTTGTTTACTCTAAATTCTACCACTAAAGCTGACCCCTACCCCTAAAAAAAATCTAAAAAAATGTTCCCAAAATTGTTTTACACTATACAAAATTTCATTTTTTAATCCGATTTTCATCCAAAAATATTGAATAATGTTAATGTTTCACTTTACTATACCCTTACGAAGCTCGAAAAGATCGACGTTCCAGTCACGCCTTCCAAAGTAAAGTGCAGCAAGGGCACCAACAAGTCCACCACCAACGATGGCTACACGACGCCTCGAAGTCTTTGATTGTATTGTGGGGTCTGTGAACATTACAGAGTTCTTACACTTTAAACCTAAAAAGATAAATTTATAGAGCTATTAGCTTGTGCACATTCGTAATACGGTAGTTTATTTCTTGAGAATTCACAGCACTTTTTATACTGAACTATTATAAAATTTTATTGATTGAACGATTACAGTTAAACTCTGTTTAAAACGTCTGTTAACTGTTTCTATATCATATATGAAACAGTCATAAACAAGATATACTTTACGTTTCAGTCAATTATTTGTAAACCAAACTATATTCAATAGTAGAGGTTTTAGGTGTCTAGAGCGAATCGCTTTTTATAAATCTATTTTTAAACTTGTTTATAATCATGTTACGATGATCTAATATCGATATCGATATTGTTAAATTTTTGACCTGCAACATTAAATATAGGATTTATCTATATATCGCACCAGTGCGATACTCTTATTTATCGCCCAACCAATCAAATTTCAGGATCAGGTGTA